CATCTTTTTAAGTGGGAGAACTTGCACAATTGGTGGCTGACTAAATACTTTTTTGCCCCACTGTATTTGCCAAAAAACAGGCATGTCTTTGGACCTTCGAATCCGGGGAAGAGATTTTGGGGCCTGTTTGAGCATCCCACGTAACAGAAAGTTCTCATTCTAGCATGCAGCCACTAATGTGGGGATGGCCTGGAGAACTTTTAATCAGTTATTAATGCTTTTTGTTAATTGATACACACTTGATCAAACCAGATCCTTGAGTGGGGATGAGGTTAGCAATAGTTACTTGTCCTGCTATTTCCTTTCTCCTTGATTTAAAAATATCCCTGAAATATCAGCCACTTGGGAAAAATGGACAGGAGGTCACCCTCTTGTCTGTTTTCATGAGCCTCCTGAATATCACAGGAAATGGCCTAAAGGAGCAGCTGTCCCAATCTAGCAAGACTTTCCTTTTGGGTATTATTGAAAGAAAAAAGAACAGAAAAAAGTGACCTCATCCTCAATGTGCCTAATAAATTATGGATCTGACAGTAATCATGCATAGTAGGGAAAAAAAATGGTGTTAAATAAGACACGTAAACTACTCCTTCCCCAGGGAAAAATGAACTATCAGCTCAGCTGTAAGCATTTAGACACAGAGAATGTAGATGAGCGCACTAGGAGATGGGAAGAGGCCGCTGGGAGATACACCTGGAAAGGTAGCAGCTTATTCAAAGAACCCAGCCTTCCTCTGACTCAACGAATGATTGCCATCGCAGCACACCCTCATTGCCCTTACCTCGTTAACATATATATCCAATCAAATGCTGCTGCTAGATCCAATCATATTAATACTTCAATTTGCATAACTGCATCCCACTCCTTTTAGGCTTGCCTCCAGTGCCACAATAAACAATCTGTCTTTCAGTGGAATTTTGTGTCTCTGATTTAAGTGAACTCTTGGGGGAATTTGTGAAGTTTATCGCACACATATTAACAGTACACAGGTAAACAGAAAAACACCACACTAAAAAATAATCATAACAAGTGCAGTTCACTTTACTGAAGAAAGAAATACACATTCACACTGAAAGGACATCCGAAAGAATTTTAGTGTTTACAGAGTCCAGAAAACAGTTTTGGTAGCTTAGGAGTGTTTAGGGGTACTGCAATGTAGAAAGGCATCCAAAATTGGAATTGAATCTTCTTTAATTATAATATAGTCAACTGTCACAGTATACAGATGTTGAAACCAAGTATCTACTTGCTTGAAACACCCAGAGCTTCACCACACACATTCTGAGTTGATGTACCAATGAAAGATTGATGACATGCCACCAAGTCTATGTTGACTTGTAGGGACCACACAGATTTTCTCCAGGATGATCTGTCTTCAACTTGGCCTTCTAGGTGTCTCAGTGGTGCATCCATTGTTGTTGTAATCAAGTCCATCCACCTTACTGCTGATTGTCCTCTCTCCTTCCACTTTTCTAATCAAAGATTGGGTTATCAAAGAGCAACCTACTTCATTGGGTAAATCTTGATCAACAGATTAAAGGACTTCCTAATTAAAAAACAGCAGCACCTGTTTCTTGCTTCAAATACATACGTCCTAGCCTTGACATTTAGTAAAATCTGTCACTGAAAGGATGTGAATTTCCTGGAAAAAGGCTATGTCAGTTGACCCTCCCCCTTTTTCAGCTTAGCTAACATATGTCAACATTTAGAAGGCAACTATAAACCTTTCAAAATTTTATTACAAAGGAAACTATCATAGTTTGGCTGGTGTGGGTCTTCTGGGCTGTGTGGCCGTGTTCTGGAAGTTTTGTTTCCTGACATTTCGCCAGCATCTGTGACCGGCATCTTCAGAGGGCAGGAGCACAGACAGGAGCAGTTCTCCTATCTGTGCTCCTGCCCTCTGAAGATGCCGGTCACAGATGCTGGCGAAATGTCAGGAAACAAAACCTCCAGAACACGGCCACACAGCCCGGAAGTCCCACACCA